GAGACAAGCCTGCAGAAGCTCCGGTAGAACCTGGTGCACCACCAGCAGGGGAGAAACCAGCAGAGCAAGCTCCACCACCACCAGGAGATAAGCCCGCTGAACAAGCTCCACCACCACCAGGAGACAAGCCTGCAGAAGCTCCGGTAGAATCTGGTGCACCACCACCAGGAGATAAGCCCGCTGAACAAGCTCAGCCATCACCAGCAGATAAACCTGCAGAACAAGCTCCACAGCCACCGGGAGAGAAACCTGCAGAGCAAGCTCCACCACCACCAGGAGACAAGCCTGCAGAACAAACTCAACCACTACCGGCAGATAAACCTGCAGATCAAGCTCCACCGCCACAGGGAGACAAACCAGCAGAGCAAGCTCCACCACCACCAGGAGAAAAGCCTTCAGAAGCTCCGGTAGAACCTGGTGCACCACCAGCAGGGGAAAAACCAGCAGAGCAAGCTCCACCACCACCAGGAGACAAGCCTGCAGAACAAGCTCCACCACCACCAGGAGAGAAACCCGCCGAACAAGCTCCACCACCGCAGGGAGAAAAACCTGCAGATCAGGGGGCTCCATCTGCAGCACCATCAGATAGGCCTGCAGAGCAAGCTGGTGCAGGTGCTACAAAACCACAAGAGGAGACTAAGGTACTTTGACCTTTACAATGTTGCAATGCCTTATATTATGGTTACTTATTTTAGCCATCTGACGATGTAACGACAGCACGCGAGATAGAGAATGGTCAGGTAGGATAGTTATCTTACTACTTATTACTCACGGCTCATGTCGGAGCGAAGAACATGACGCATAGCATGTTTTAATAACGGTTTGATGCACTAGTGCACTGTCATGCTAAAGAGTGGAGACTGTGTTACTTTGCCTAAAACTTTGATCAATATTTGCTTTTACAGTCAAGCGCAGCCGCAAAGAACGGCCAACCTCCTGCCGAACAGGTAAATAATTAAGGACATAGTAAAGATAGCAGTCAATTGTGAGTTTTCCAGCAACAACCAGCTGCTCCACTTTCTCAGCAGGAACTTGATAAGCTAGCCATAGAGACGTAATAATGTCCGTCTACCGCATTATTTGAAGCGTTGTGCAGAACATCATATCTTGTGCGAGGAATTATTCCAGATTTTTTGAATTGTCTCTACAAGCTTACGCTTATTTCTTTTCCAGTTTTTTTTCTGGAAATACTTCTCAGTTCAGTACAATTTCGAGCATTTTTACTTGCGGAGACGTGTTTTAGTTTTGTTCCTAATGCTACAGCTTCGCTGTTCATATGGAATAAATGTTTTATTATGCACTGTTGATGCCACAGCTGTTTTCTAAAAGATGATACCGTTTTGAATATTGAAATTGAACAGTGAAATTTTACTGATCCTACCAATTGCCATTGCAATAGTAAGTGACACTACGTTGTAATCAAATAGAACACAGGTCATTGTTCTCATTTTTTACCATTAACTAGCGAAAGCGAACAACTGGACATTTTATTGAGGAAAACATTCAGAGCTCTTGTTTTTACTAGCGACCTCGTTCGATGTGTAAAGTAAAATCCTTGAAATTCCGTAAAAATGCAAAAAAT